TTTATTAATTCCGCGGCCGTTTTCCGTTTATGAAACACAATTCCAGGTTTTACAGAATAAGGCGTTATTTTGTCCGTAGATATGTGATCGGGACTGTAAGATTGAGACTTATAAAACTAAGTTTGATTTCGAATAAGTAAAGACGGTGAGTTGAGCAAGTTTTTCGTATTTACAAAATGACTTTTTTATTATATTAAATGATGGGACGAACAAGTCGTGCGCCTGATGGTAAGGACTTTATCTAATTTTAAAGAAATTACTAAATGACCTCAAAGTTTTAGTTATTAGTTTTATAAATACGTAAATCTTGCTTAATTCGCCATTTTTACTTATACGAAGTCTCTTATATTATAAATCTTTCCCAACCCAATCTGTTGCAATCAACTAATTTTTTTGTAAGAAATAAGTCTAATAACTAACTTATTGTAACGGACTTCTTTGATATTAGTGGTAAGTGAAATTCACGTGAAAATTCCTATTCCAGGGTACCAACTTCATCCGTTGTATCAAACCGAACTCGCGGATGGTAGGCCGCGAGATCGAAGGCAGCCTCGTCCTTACACAACTGGAATGCAGCGGGACCATTTCCGTGTTAGAGCTAATGGAGCACGGCTACCCTTGCCGCGCGCCCTTCAGTGAACTGCACACCATGTACAAGGGATACTTACCCTCGAAGTTGCAAGGGTTGAGTTCTAAATGGTTCTGTGAGGTTAGTATTATACTCTTAATGTTAACTCAAAAACCTTTCTATAAGTCATACAGGTTACAATAGAAAAGAAATATGAAATGCATTCTAATCAATATGAAAAAATGTAGCCTTAATCAGGCGTACTTTTTAAGACAGCGGTAGAAAGGTTGATAAAGCTTTTAAAGCTCGTGCAATGAGGCTTCATCTTGTGGTTTCGTACAATATAATCATAGGTGATTTCTAAAATTAAACGCGTGAATGGAAGCCCGCTAAATATCAAAAGTCCGCTGCAACTACGGTCTACGTAACTGTTGAAAGCCCTGAGGTTCTGCGTCTTTGCATGTCATTGCAGAAATGTCCGCGTTGGACATTAAAGGAACGTGTAGATTGTACTTATGGACTGGGGTGCTATAATTTCTGCGCTAAATAATATTTATACATGTTGGACAGTACCAGATAATGTTGCTTGACAGTGTATTCTTGAATGTAGATACTCTTTTCTCATATAGCAAAGCTCTTGAAAAATGTTGCTACAGAGCTGTCATGTCCATTGTGAATCTTATATACACGTTTCACAATCCTTTATTAAATGTAGTTAAATAAGTAGCAAGCAAGGAGCCGTGACGCTATCGCAGTTATAGAAAAAATAAGTATAGCGTATGCGTAATCAGACAATGCCGTGTGTATTCGCGGCAAGCGTGAACGAGCAAGCGGTGCACCAACAGGCGAAGCTTAGCACACGATTAGGGTCAATGAACTCGGTTATAGCTGATGCTTGTGAGCTTGATGGAATGGCGTTAAAGCTTTGCACTAAAAAAACCATTAATTGTACTTATAGTTTCACTTTTAAAGAGGAACTAATTTTGTTTGCAAATAGCTTGTTTAATTCAGTTTATAACGGTAACAATTAATTTTTAAAAGCGGTAAAGTACTTTAGACAGATTTTAAAATGCATTTATACTCGTATATACACTGATGATGTATACAGAGTCGTGAGGCTCGTAGGGAAAGCCTAATTCGGTACAGATGAAGCGTATCGTGCATCTGTTCAAACTTTTGTCTTCTTCCCTGTTAAGAGCACGGTACTGTAAATAGCTGTTTAACATTTTTATTGTTAAGTGAAGCCATAGTAGCCTAATGGTTTGACCTACCGCCTCTAAAGCAGCGGTCGTGGGCGTGGGTTCAAATCCGGGCTCGCACCTCTGAGAATTATGTGCGAAATTTAATTTGAAATTTACCATGAGCTTTTCGGTGAAGGAAAGCATCGTGATGAAACCTGCACGTCGAAGAAGGTTCACAACCCACGTGCAAAGTGTGAAGTCTGCAATCCGCATTGAACCAGCGTGGTGGACTATGTCCTCGTCTGAACCGACCGAGGAGAACCATGCTCAGCAATGAGACGTATAAATGGGTTGATGATGATGATTGTTATGTTAGTCTGTGGAGTCAATTAAAAGAAAATTGTTTTCTTTCTCAGGCTATAATTCATAGCTTCGGTCTATCAGACAAAGACTACAAATTTGGAATAACTCGAGTATTCTTCAGACCGGGTAAATACTCTGAATTCGACACCATCATGAGATCAGACCCTGAGAACTTGAAAGCAATCGTTGGTGCTGTGCTCACTTGGCTTGTCAAGTCCCGATGGAGAAGGTCCATATTTGCTGTGGTGTCCATAATAAAACGTGAGTACTTTTGTATGTTTTGGTAAATTGTCTTGAAAACAAGATTGCACAGTTTGATTATGAGGAGAATAGTTCATAACAGTTGAATGTGTATAATACCAATATTTATTTTTGTTAAGTATCGTTTTATATTTTTCCTACTTGATATTCGTGTATTTTTTGTGAAAAATCTCCACTACTATAAAGCTTTAGATAATTAACTAAATATAAACGAACCGTAATAAGGTATTTTATGATGCATTACTTGGTTACTTGTTGTAAAATTATAATGAACTTTTTGAAGATGACTTTAAATATATGATAATATTTTCAGTTAATAGACAACATTTCAAACAACTTGTTCAAAATACTAATAAATATTTGAATCTCAACCGTATAGATTAAATATTTCAATAAAGATGTTTAACGATAAACAACCTAAAACTCCAGAAGTCTTTAAAAAGATATACAGCTAATAACATGTGACCAAATTATAGAATACGGCTGTAATACAACGTAAGAAACTCACTACTAAATATCGTATTTGACCGGTTATCCCGACGCCATTACTACATTTGCTTTGCTTGCAAGTGACAATTGAAGTTTGTGTACTTTTAGTTAATTACCTAAACCTTTATACTATAGTTCGTTATCATTTTTGATAAAAAAATTTAACAAAACAAAGAAAAATTCATTCGAGCTGACTGGACCAGCGTCTATTTCTTCAGCGTGGCTACCGTTCTTACCAACTGAGCTACAGATCGAGTAGTTAGATCTTACGAATTTTTTGTATGCCTGTTGTAGATCTTTAGCTGTAGACATCACATGTTAGAGTCTTTTTCAAGCTTCTTCACTCAGGCATCTTTACATCGAACGGGTCGAAGTAATATTGCTTTGTGTTTTTGTTCACTGATTGTATAAAAAATAATAGTGACAGAAGCCAATTTTAAATTTTTAAAATATACAACTTTTCTTTGTTCTGTCAGATAATGCAGTCATCTAGGTTTTAAACCCTAAATACGATTACGTTTTTACACTGATGATGTTATATTATTCAGTCGTTCTAATATAATTCTTAATACTATTTCCAGTGAAGAACAAGATCCTGTATCGTCGCGAGTGCCTCGTGAAAATACAAAAGAGCATCCGCGGCTATCTCGTTCGGCGCCGTCATCAACCGCGCTATCGCGGCATCGCCAAGATCCGAGCTCTAACCAACAACTTGAAAGAGATGGAAACTACAGCTGGGCAACTCAAGAAAGAAAAGGCCAGCATGCTTAAAAATATTGAGAACTTGAGAAATGATATTGTCAATGCTTGCTCTACTATTAAGGTAACTATTATATAATTCTCCCGTTTGTAACAAACCACTTTAGAAATTGAGCGCTTTAAAAGTAATGCATCCGCTCTACTAACGACACTTGTTAATGTTAATAAGAAAACACGATGCAGAGTTTATTTCATGGTATGAACCAATTATTAACAAATTTTGTACTCTCCTCGTTATGTTGAAGGATGTTCACGATTAAACATTTCTTCTAGCAACAAGAACTTTGATAGCAAAAGTCAATATTAACACTATAATTTCTAAGTCGTCAGCAGCTTGTTGATACTTTAAATAAATAATTCATTCCATCATGTTAATGTTCCTTTTGATTTCACGACTATAAACGAAATGCAGAAACAAATATATACACAAAGAATTTTCTAAGGTAATGAGGTGGTGATGATGCAGACCTCGATGGCATAACGGTTAGCGCCATGGGCACTAAATGACTCGACTCAAACTTGACTCTAATCTGGGTATTCTTTAATGCCCCGTAGTCAATTTTGTTGCTTTGGTACTTGTAGTAACTGGGATTCTCTAGTTTGAGCTAGCTTACTTAATTGGATGGTAAAATAAATAGCATGAAACTTTAAAAAACGTACATTTTCATTTACTTACTTATCTTACATTGGTACTAGATTAAAGTCATTATTTACGGAAGTAGGATGGAAAAGAATCTATTAAGTAATTCGTTGTTTTGACGTCAACACGTTCCAAAAATAAAATTACGAAATATAAATTGCTAAACCACACTTGTTCAGTCCGCTCCGGTTGATAAAGGCCTCAAGAAACAGTCAACCATTCAAATTGAATGTTGTATTTGTATTTTCAGCGAAATGACAAAATATCCCGAATGGAGATCGATCAACTGTACAGCGATGTCGTAAAAAAGGTCGAGACACAAATGTCCGTGTTGCAGAAAACTATGATCGATCAAAAGAACAGGTAATCTTGTGCCGTGAAGGGCAATTACCAGTAAATAATTATGTAACAAGGTGTTTTTAACGAGACGAGAACTATTTAGCGAGATAGTAGGATACTTGAATGAATGAAATATTCTGTATTGCACATTAAAATTACAGTGCCAACACAGAACACTATTTTAAGTATTACTTACTTGTTACCTACTTGTTATTCTTAATTTTCTTTTTCAATTCGATTTTGCGTCTCCAAAAAATAATTTATACTAGTATCGATAATAATTTAGTAAAAGACGAGTAGTTTTACCAACATAATTGGTTGACAAACTTTTGTGTAAACCAAAGAAAATAGTTGAAAAATATACACATAGTTGTAGGCATTATGAAATCAGTAGTAACAAAGAAACATGTGTGACATCACGAGTAGGTATTGCCGCTTCTATATTTATGTTTATATAAATGTAAGTTTCATGGAACTAATAATTTGTTTTAATGGGGTTGACTGTCGTTAAAACAGGGAAGAACAAGAGCGATTGCGTAGAATCGAGGCGGAACTTCGGGCTGCTGAAGAAGCCAAACGTCGTGAACAAGAACGTTTGCGCCAGGAAGAAGAGAACCGTCGGCTGTAAGTAGTTTTTTCACAAGTAATAAAGTAAAACGGCTGTTGATCGGTTACATGATTTTCAAGTATCCCCTTTATGTTTGATCAAAAGGTTATATAAATGACATATAACATAATATATTGTATAAAACAAAATTAACATATGTTTATTTTTAAAACTTTTTCTAGTAAAGGCACTTTTATTAAAATTTACCTATAAAGAAAAGCGATATCAAACGTATTGCGATTTGGATGAATTCGAATGCAGATTTTTTTGGGAATTCACTTTTATTTAGGTAGTGTTCACTGTCCTTATACAATCATTTACAAGCCTATCCGCCCGTCTATCACATAAATTTTTTAATAGACATGTTAAGTCTCGCACTGCTTCGAAGGTGGTAACAACGATATAATTGATATTTTAGCAAAGCCGAAATGGAAGCTCGGCGTAAAGCAGAAGAAGCGGAACGGCGTCGTCTTGAAGAACAGGACCGCATCGCAGCGCTTAAATTGCAGCAGGAGCTTGAAAAGGCTGTAAAGGTCGATCAGGAAAACAGAGAGAGGTATACTCGTGCTCAACTTATTTTTTGGCGATGAAAAAGAAATTCATATTTATTCCAGTTTGTAGTATATTTTGGGCACTTGTCGAATTGTCGATATTATTGTATTGCACATTTTAAAGAAATATATGTTGTATAAATAGTTCTTTAAAATCTGCAATATATGCCTTTTATTGATTTGAACCAAATTTCAACACTAGGTAGCGCCACTAAAGTTAATTTTCAATATTCAAACTGTTTTTATTATTCCAGGCTAGAACAAGAAAGAAGAGATCACGAAATGGCCGTGAGATTGGCTAAAGAAACAAATGGCCACGTGGAGGGATCCCCGCCGCAGTTTCGCAGGTAATTATGTCATTTTTATACAACTTATACAAGACTGTTTTTGATTACTTTGAAAGTTCTTAACGACATTTTTTTTAATTGCAACAAACAATTCTGCATTTTTTATGAAATTCCCATTGCTTTTTACTTTCTGTTTCAAATATAAGAGCTATTTATTATTTGAAAAACATACTATAACAGTTGCATTAGTATCGTTGCGATTTTGAAATTACCCCTCTCATACATATTGTACTGGGTCTATCGCTTAAATTTGCGAAAAGTTTTAACAAATACAAAGGTGGGAGACAGGCGTGATGATATGTATGCATGTATATGCAGTCCTAGTACATTGATGTTTCTTAGGAGTCGTCCCACGAGTTACATTCCAACTGCAAAGTAGTTGATGTCCAGACTTTATGTGGCACTACACGCCGATTGCAAGAACCGGTTGCATAAGTAGGTAGTTGGCAATTACGACGGAGCGCCGAAAACTGATTTCCATCAGAATCACAACTGCTATTTTGCAATTGCGATGCGATCGTAATGCCAATTATGTGATGAGGAGTCAGAGGAATGTCTAAGACCTTGTTGCTTATGAATAATGCCAAATTGTCTGCCAGTTTTCCAATATTGAATGCTGCATAAATTATGATGTTAAAGTTGACGATACTATTCTTTAGGAAACAATTTCGAAAGACACTGCATTTTACTGTGTTTTGAGTTCCAGCAAAAATATTTCTCGATCTCTCATTGAAGCAGTTGAGTATTTAAAGTTTTGCCTGTGAAGTACTGTGTGATAATTTGTATAAAAATACTTACTTTACGTGTTATCGTATCTGTAATACAATCTTTAACGAGTTGTTGTATAAATTTATATCACACAGTGCTTTTTAAAAGCGAAAAATATCACTGTAAAAGCTCCACTCGGGGTTCAGCGAGTCTTCTTCTTGTATATAGCTTGTAAACACGAAGCGACGATGCGTTATGCTAAATTTTTCAGCACGCTTTGGTACTGCGTCTATACTAAGGGCCATCACATAAGATCAAACGGTCGCGGTACATAGGTCTACTAAGATCTCGTTACACAAAATTAGAAAATAGAAGAATCATTTCAAATGGCAAGTTTAATTTCTCGTGTGTAATGCGATCGGTAATTAAAATGTAACATTTGATACTTTTGATATTTATTGGAGATATGTAGGAAGTTTGCTGTGTAAGAAACATTGTAAATACGATGATTCGCTTGTCGTCGATTCGCATGAACACTAACTCTTTACAGGCTGAGAATCGAATAAGTGATACTAATATTCACTTTTGGCGTGATATACGTATTGTCAGTACAACATTTATTTTACATTGCATAGTTTTTGCTTCTCATGTGAGAGGTCATTGGTTCGAATCCTTTTGATGCTGTGTACATTATTTTTTTAGTTACGTATATGCGTCAACGTTCAGTAATAATATCTCACGCTAACGGTGAGGGAAAACATCTTGATTAAACTCTCATATCGATGAAAGTTCATAACCCTTGAAAAGAGTGTGAAGTGGCTAAGTTAAACTCTTATTCGATGAGACCCGTGCCCAACTGTGGTATCTGTAATAGGTTGATGACGATGACATTGCTGGGCTAAAGCCTTTTCCCTTCTTCCCCTTTTGCAACTATAAACACTCGTAGTCGTTTTCAAACAAATCCAATGGAGATAATTAACGTGGAGAGATTAAGGAACTGAAATTTCTCACAGGTCATGCCTGGAACCAACCCCAACTTGTCAACATTCACATTATGTCATTTAGTATAGACGCGTTGTTAAAGCGTGCTGTTCAACATAGCTTGACTGTAATATCTGTTATGTTTGCACAGTTTCCCATCGGAGACAGTCAATGGAGAGAATAAGTTAAACAGGTACTCAGAGTTTCTATGCACGCTGCATGAGGTTACTGTGCTTTTTCGTCCTCTTTCGATCACTACTTTTATTTATTTCAAAATATCATTAGTATAATTATTATTAGTACAATAATGACTACAGTGGTGCTATGACCATATCCCAGCTATTAACACCAGTTCCCGAATAACAAGTAAAAACGTTTAAATTCTTACTTTAAAGGGAAATAAAAACAATAGAAGAAAAAACTATGTGTACGTGTGTATATCGATTCCATTGTAATGGCGAATCAACTAATCATGTCCCTCCTACGTAAAGTATCGCATGTCGAAATTGCCAAGTTTACAGGGAAGCGTTTTAAAGTTATGAATTCACTGAAATGAGCATAGCATGTGACTTTAATTTAAAAATGCTAAAATAAATTGTAAAATGATAAAATGCATGCATGCCGTGTCAGCAATTAATATTATTATTATACAATGTTTATGGCACAAATAGTATAATTGTTTCACTGATGGATTGCAAAAACGTTACTTCTTTTTATTCAACATTTTTTTTTGTTCTCACTCAATGCATAGTTAATAGTTTAATAATGATATTTCAATTATGAGTTGTATTTCGTTACGTAATGACACAACCGGACCCGAGCGCAGCGAGTTGCCTCTGTGTGCACTGTTGCAGTGTTTGAAATGCGAAATACGCATATTACTGAATATGTTCGTTTTGTTGTTCATGTGCACGAGTTTTTTTGTGTTGTATGTGTTATATCTATATGTCTATGGCTATATCTATTTATAACTTGTAGTTGTGTATTATTTATTTACCTACTTATTATTTTATTTAATGTATATTTAGGGGACTATAGGTTTATTCATAAGTTAATTTTAAAATATGTATTTTATTTTATATATGTGTAACTGATTGTCCCTCAATAAATAAAAAATAAAAATTAAGGTTGTTCATCTAACCGATATCTAGTATTTTATAATACTCTGTGTGAGTAAAGAGCTTTGCTGAATAAAACTGAGAAATGCTAAAGTCACGTGTTATGCTCATTCCAATGAATTTAAAACTTTAAAACGCTCCCCTGTAAACTTGGTAATTTTGACGTATGATACTTTACGTAGGAGGGGTCGATATCATTGCTCAATATCAGATGAGATACCGCCTAGCCTATTAAAACAATTAGTATTTTAATTTTGTTGAATTCATTCAATAATGAATTATTTTGTCTTTTCAAAAAGTAGAACACGGAAAACAGAAGTTGTTTTGACTATCGTCCAAACACTTTCTTAATTGGCAACACTGACGCCCCACTATGAGCATAAAGGAAATCGCCACAGACCACATAAATACTAGTAATAGACTGGTTAGTGGGCGGAGTTCGCGTTATCTAGCTTATGAACAGACGTTCATATGAGTGTCAACAACGCGTCAGTTGTCGTTCAAATGTGATACAAGATTATTTTGTGGAAAAAAATAGACATATGCCGTGTTGTGGCATTATATCATGTCGCGTAAGAAGCCAAAGTTTAAAAAATACTCCGGGAGTCATTTAATCGGTAAGTACTAAAACTCTGTATTTCCTAATATTTTGATCAATACCATACCAACGTTTCGAAACAAACATATTTTCTTGCAACCAATTAATAACAATATACATTGGTTGTTAGCCATCGCCGCCGTCAAGAGAACAATTCGAATGAAGCTCAATGAATTGCTTGCACTATGGGCCCGCGTGTTGTAATCAAATTATCGATATCTAGAAACTCTGTATTTAAAATCCCGGTTTTGGTTTAGTTTGTTTACATGTTTTTATTATAGCGGTACCAATGTGTAAACATAAATTGGTTACCGGTTTACATTTAAAAGCTAACAATTTTGATTACTTAAATGTTTGGTCCCAACACTCGCAATAGTTTTTTTTTATTTTCGATTTAAGTAAAAACCATATATTTTATTTATCCGATTAATAAATGGGAAAAAAAGGAAAGATAGAAGAGGTACAGTATCGATAATTTTACAATGTGTGTGAGCGCGTGGAGTATCAAATGAAGAGTTTATGAGATTGGAGATTTTCTTTCCTTATCTACATTGTTCCTATCTTATACTTGCTTATTGTACGTCACCTTCATTCGCTTGGTTCTTAGCTTTACCACAGGCATGATTTACATTTGCAGTTTTTGTATTTATTTTTTTAGTTTCCCGCCGGATCCATTTTAAAGGAGAAATGGGCTGATGCAACATGCAGTAAAAGCTGGGTACCTACAAAATGTAGCACCATTTGCTATAGGCATTTTATAACATAACATTATATACATATGAATAAGAACCGAAAAATTCGTTAAGAAATAAATCATTTGGTTTATCAGGTAATATATGACGTGAAACTCAGTGTCGCCTTCACAATTTATAGACCACATCTAAATGTAAAAACATTTCTAAAGCAAATGATTCGCTTCTTCGCCTTCGGAAGCTCGTCGACGCTGTAGATGTTGTCATGTTCAGTCAGTTCAGAAAGAGGTAATTGTTGAACAAATATATCATATTTCAGGGAGAATAAAGATTTGTATGATGAACGTGTTTTAATGTTCAACTCTTCCAGTGATCGGATTGACTTGAAATGTAGTAGGTTAATGAAAGTACGATGACAGTATAATAAATCATTTATACTGTGATTGTAGCATGCAGCTATGTGTACGCACACGCCTGCGTAGCTAATCTCAATTAATATTAGGGGTTAAAGTATGAAATTGCCGTTTTATTGCAATAGGTTCT